TCTGTGGCTTTGGAGCCTGTCCTGGAACTAGCTCTTGTAGACCAGGCTGGTCTCAAACTCACAGAGATCCTCTGCCTCTGCCTCCTGAGTGCTGGGATTAAAGATGTGCACCACCAGTGCCAGGATTATATGCCTATTTTTTCAAGTTTTATTTATTTAAAAAACATGATGTTTATTTGGGAGGGGAATTCATGCATGCACAGGGCATGTGTGGAGACTGTCAGGCTTGGCTGAGGCAAGCGTTGCAGCCCACTGAGCCGCCTGTTTAGTATTTTCTACTAAGCTTTGTGACTCACTGGTGTCCACCATCCAATTCAGTTATTCTTAACTCTATGGCACCTTGTGGTGTTAAAGTTAAATCTTAAAAAAAAAAATACTAATTGGTCCTCTCCAAAAAAGTGTTTTCCTGTCACAAACCTTTCATGTCAGTTTAGACTTGACAGATTTTTACATTGGTGCTGATAAGTTGTTACTTGTTTTAACACTCAAGTATCCCAATTTGGCTAGTGGGGTCCATTAGAACTGGCTTCTGTGCCTGTGTATTTTGTTTCTGAGATAGGATCTAGTGAGATATCCCAGGATGGCCTTCTGTTACTCTAAGTTGCAGCTCACTGGGATGCAGGTGATGCAGACATGGACCATCACCCCTGGTCCCATGTCCTCATGACCTTCCTTTCATGCTTCCTGTGACATGCTTCTGTTGAATGCCTGTTATACCCCCAGCTTTGGAAGCAGTGTGTGAGTGCACACATGTCCCAATAGCCTGGCCAAGAGCATGGCTACCCTCAATCCGACAGCTGAGGAATAGTGTCTTAGTATGGTATAACATTTTTCTTAACGATGTATGAAGTTGAGAGTGTGTCCTTCTGTTTCAGTGTGTATATATGTGTTCACATTCTTTTTAAGTATTTTTTAAAGATTTATTTATTTATTATGTATACAACATTATGCCTCCATATATGCCTGCAGGCCAGAAGAGGGCACCATATCTCATTACAGATGGTTGTGAGCCACCATGTGGTTACTGGGAATTGAACTCAGGACCTCTGGAAGAACAGCCAGTGCTCTTAACCTCTGAGCCATCTCTCCAGCCCCCCCCCCTTTTTAAGTATTTTTAATCTGTTTTAGAATTACTCTTTAGGGGAAGGGAGGTCCTCCTGGATGTGCTATACAAATGTTTTCTTACTTTTTATCTGGTTGTGTTTGTTCTCAGTGTTTTTGATTCTGGCCATACTAAATTTTTTCTTTGATTGATTGATTGGATCATTCTTTGTTTGCTTTTGAGACAGGGTCTCATTTTATCCCTGGTTGGCCTGGAACTCACTATGTAACCCAGTTTATTCTCAACTTCTGACAGTTCTCCTGCCCCAAGTACTGGGATTACAGGTGTGAGTCACTAACTTTTCAAATTAAATTGTATGTCTGTAGTCAGACTGCTTGAGTCTTTGGTCCTTACTGCCTCTATGTCCTAGTGGAGTGCCCTGCCCCGCCAGGGCTGAGAACTTGCCAGCTCTCTCTCTCCCTTGGGCACCTTCGAGGCTGCGCATTTGGATCTTGATATGTTTGGAGCTTATTCTTGTGTGTGCTCCCAGGTGGGGATCTGATTTATTTATCTCCAAATGGCTGTCCAGTCCTTTAATACTATTTCTTACAAAGTCCATTTTCCTCAAGTAATTTTCACATCTCCTTTAATTGCACAAAGCCGCATGCCTCCTTGAGACTATTTTTGACTTGTGTGTGTGTATGTGTGAAGTCCTTGGTCTGTCTGTCTTGTCTGTCTGCATCACATTTTCCATTATGGAGGTTTTATGGTAGCAACTTGAAGAACATATCATCCTGTCTCTAGTACTTGAGTGTTTATTAGTTATTCAATAGGAAACTCTCTATCAGTCTTCCACTTGGAAACTTGGTATGTTTGTGAAAGTTACAATTATTTTCATATTTTTACTTACAGTGAACTGACATTATGTTTGCTTGTTCTGTCAGAAAATAAGAACTCTTAGTTGGTTAAGTCTTCATTTGTGCCTTTTCTGGAATGTTTTAAAGTTTTCTTCTGATGGATTTTACACATTTCTTATTACGAAACTTGCCTTTTTTTCCACTTAATATTGTGCCGAGCAGGTCAGTACATGTTGACCTATTTTATTTTGTAAAATGAATCCAGGGTAGTCTGCCATGCCCTAATTTGATTTAACTTTGCCTCTGTTGATGTATGCATGTTACTTCTGACTTTTCCCTTTTTCTAAGCAGTTAGAACTGAAAATGCTTATTCATAAGCCATCTGGATTTGGGGGTAATTACTGCTGCCAAGTTATCCTCTCAAACCATTTGACGAAGTCATGCAAACTTCAGTGCATATGTATAGGTCTTCAAACTTCCTTTTTGAAGAAAAGCACCATAAAAATTACTCCCAAAAGTTGTGTGTTGATTAACATGGATAACAGACAGTAGCAGGGGCTGGGGGTGTGGTTCAGTGATGCAGTGTGTGGGACACCCTGGGTTCAATTGCCAGAGCACTACAAATAATAAAGGAGCAGAAATCACAGCTTCTACCTTCAATAACTGGAACATAGTCTTGGGCATGACATTTATATATATTTGAAAGTATGAAAAGTTCTCATGTAAGGAGACCTTGAGTCGAGTTCAAAAGAAAGTATTGCTGGGTCTAGTGACAGCACTCAAGGGGCAGGAGCAGGTGGATCTCTGAACTTGGACTGCCCAGCAAGTTCCAGGTCAGCCAAGGGCTACATGATGAGACATTGTTTTAATAGCCTCCTCCTCCCAAAAGAATGTACTGAACATAGTTTGTTGTGCTAATGGCATAGGTTAAATTGACCTCACTTTTCAGGTGACAGTAACGTCCTAGACTAAAATGGTGTCTGTATGCAAAGACAAGGGGAGGGCAGCAGTTGACCGATGACTTTGAGGTGAGGCCCAAAGAAACACAGGTTTTCTGAAGGTAACAGAGCATCCTCAGATTCAGAGATTGGAGTTAACAGAAGGCTGATTTTCTTTAGCTGTGTGCTGGGGTGGGGATTCAGGGGTCTCCTGATATTAAGTCACAATGTTAGGTTTCAGGGCGGTGCCCCTCTGGTGCTGGTGGCTTGTGGAGAACTCAGTTTCTTCCTGAGAGCTGGCAGCGCCCCCCCCCCCATGGATCGATCCTGTGAAACAAGGCAGGTGCTTCAGTGCCTTTTGATTCCTTTAGAAAGCATCCGCTGTTACTCTCCCCACATTACTTTGAAACAAGCTGCAAGTCCAGCCCACGTTCAGGAGCAGGGGGACTAGGTTTCACATTTTCAAGAGGGGAATGTCGAAGAATCTGGGAACAGATTGTGAAACCTACACACTGTCCTGTCTGTTCTAAAAAGGAGGAGCGACGCTAACATTTGGAAAGGGAAGAACACACTCCTCTCCCACCCCCATTCCCCTGATATCTGAGGAAGATCAAGCTGGTCATAGTTAAAGGCAAATTGAAGCGATGGCTCCCAGTGTGGTGCTGAAGCCACCCGAGGGTCATAGGTTCCGTTGAGGGCGGGGGGAGTTGGGGAGAAGTAGGGCAGGTGGAAGGAAGGAGGGAGAGAGGTGGCAGAGTGATGAGCGAATGATGAAGAAGAGCAAGATCAAGCAGGTCAGAACTGGCGAGGGGGCAAGTTCTGAGTGTAGCATTCAAGGGACGATTCACATGGAGTTGAAAATGCACAGCCAAGACCCAGATTGAAACCTCTCACCAAAGAGGCCTTGCATTGAGGGCCAGGCCAGGCGAGGAATGGGGGCTGTAATTGGGAGCAGGGTTGGAGAAATGGTGAAGGCAGGAGAGAATCCGGAGTGGTCCGAAGCCCTCAGGTATTGGGGTTTGAAGACAGCTGTAGTGAAAGTGAAAGCATTTGCCCGCAGGATTGCGATGGAGACAGCCATTTTTTAAGTGGAGTAGAACAACTTTGGAAATTGGATTATCACATCTGCATGGATGCTCAACTTGGAAGGACAAGTGGCTGGCATTCAGGGAGTTCCTTTCTTTGATGTTGACATGTATCTTCTGTCTTCCTGATTCCTTTTAGAACCACCCTGCATCCCAGGGATGGTGTCCTCACTCACTCTCCGGAACCTTTGAACCATAAGTGAAATCTGTTTACCTTCTTAGGCACCCCACACACACGTCCTGCTTCTAGCTGCCCTCCACTCTTCCTTGAAATGTGTGTATTACATGTGTGCATGCTCAACTCATGTGGAGGTCAGACAAGAACGGTGGCCATTGGTTCTCTGCTCCTAAGTGAGTCAGGTCACTCTCGGGCTGGTGGCTCCTTTGAAGGAAGGGGTAAGACAGAGGCATTTAGCAGCCCTACATTTAATGTTGGTAAACAGGTATACGCATGTGTACCTTCCTTCCCTGTGCACACCTCCAGGATAGCAGTGGCATTGAGGGCTGGAGACTGACTGGAGAGGTAGAGCACACATGGTGTAGAGTATCTGTGGTTGACTGAAGTTGAGTAACACAGAGTTGCTTATCTGAAGTGTTCTGAGGCAGATGTGTCAGGGATGGTTTGGGAACCCAGAAACCAGGCACAGTGGGGAACACAGTCTTCAGCCCAGCCTGGTCAAATGTATACTGTGTCCTCATGCCCAGCCTGCTCAGGTAATTTGCAGCTACCTTGCTTGGAGTGGTCTGGGCATTCTGAGGTTTGTCTGGAGTCTTCTAGAAAAAAATACACTGGGGAGAAACAGGGGTAGGTTTCTAAGGCACTGTGTGGCGCACTATAGAGCTGGGGACTTTGAAAGTGCTTGGAGCTCATGGCAGCAGGAAAGAAGTGAGGAATGAGGCTGGAGAGGCCCTGGGTAGAATGCCCATGATGATGGGTCTTCATTCCCCCTGCTGGTAGTGAGGAATTGTGGGAAGCTTTAAATTCAAAGGAATGACTTAGGTTGGCTAGAGGACTTGAAAAGGTGGTGGCTCCTTGGAGCAGCCATTGGGGGGATTTAGAGAGAGCACGAGCGAACGAGAGAGGAAGTGGATATTTTCTAGTAACCAGGGCATGGTATAGGTTGAAGGCAGGGAAGTAAAGGAGTTGAAGAGTTCCTGAACTTTCTTTGAAAGAGTCTTCTTGCCCAGGAGCTAGAACTACATCATTCAAGACAATTTAAGCTTCTTTTACATATCTGACTTTTTAAAAGTTAATCACTGTGCGTTAAGATGTAGTGTTTTCTGTCTTCACACCAACAGGTGGCCTCATATACGTTAGCTCTCCCTTAAGATGACTCAATGTCTGGCCTGTGGTGATATATTAGTTATGATTTATTAAAGCTTGCCCGAGGATTCAGAAAGCAAAGCCAGCCTCAAGCTATAGAGGTCAGGCATTGGTGGTACACACCTTTAATCCTAGGACTCAGTATGTTTAAGGCCACGATAACTACACGAAATTGATCCAATCCTAAAAGAAACAGCTCACACAAAGGTGATCTCAGCAACTGGGATCACATGTGTTTAACCCTAGCACTAGGGAGGTAGAGACAGGAGTGATAAGGCTGGGCAGAGAAAGGAATATAAGGAGGAAGAGACAGGCATTCAGAGCCTTTTGCCTCTGCGGGTTTGTTGGAGACAGGATTAACATTTCAACTGGGTTAGAGGTAAGATCTAGAGGTCGGCTGCTTTGCTTCTCTGAGTCTCTGGGTCTTTTATTTATTGTGCTACAGTAGCCTTTTGTGAAGGGCTTGTTTCACTTTGCTTGGTGTCTTAGCATGTATCAGAATTCACCTCAATATTGTTTGAGACAGATTCTCATTATGTGGCCGGCACTGGCCCAGGACTCCCCATTCTCCTGCCTTAGCCCTGCAACTGCTGGGGTCACAGGTGTGCTTTTAAGGTCACTCCATTGTCAGCAAATGTATCCAGCCTCATGACATTAAACAGTTCTACTTTAGTACTTAGCCTTTAAAAACTTAATCGGGGCCGGAGAGATTGTTCCGTAATTAGGAACACTTGCTGCTCTTGGTTTGGACCCAAGTTTGGTTCTCAGCACCCACATAGAGACTCGCCACCAGGTGGATCACAACTAGTTCCAGGGAACCTAGTACCAGCTATGATCACTGTAGGCATCAGGCACACATGTGCTCCACATGCATAAATGCAGGTAAGACTTATAAAAACATGAATCGTTAAAAGAAAAAGTTAGAAATCAAAACAGCATCAGACATTTGCTCCAGATGGAGAATTAGTTGTGTATAACCAAAGCAGCTCGGTCTTTGGTCTGTTGTGTGATGTTTTTGTCGAATTTAGTTCTGATGTAGCTGTCAGAACAAAGTTGAGAGATTTGTAGGGTAGTTTTAAGAAAGAAACTACTTCTTTTAAAAAGGAAAAAAAGTCGTTAGTTGAGGGGGGCAGGGGGAGGAGGGGAGGGAGAGGGACCTGGGATTGACATGTAAAATAATTTTCTTTCTAATAAAAAAGGGGGAAAAGTAAGAGGTTCTATCAATCACAGAAAAGAGAACACCCCCCCCAAAAAAAAACCCAACTCATTTTTAGGGCTTTCCACAAACCAAATATTATCCAAATAATCTATGTTCAAGCCAAAAGCTATAATCTGAGAATTGCTATGTTGAAGGGTTACTTTTTGCTTTAAAAACAAAACATATTCTCTGGGTCCCTCCATACTGTGCCAGTGAAAGCCATTTCTCTTTGAAGATCTGAGAGTGATGAGCATGAAATCCAAGGCTGCCGAAGTAGGCAATCCTGAGAGAGTACCCAGTGCCATTCTCTGAACTGTGGTTGCTCCACCAGGCCTGCTGGGAGGAAGCTGGGCCTTTGGTGTAGTTAGCAGCTGGCTTTGTGTGGGTGTCTCTGTTCAGTGTGCTGCTTTGGAACCTGTGAGAGGCCTGCTGGTTGAGAGTTTTATCGTCATCCCATGACCAGTTGTCAGAGAGAACTGTGGTATGAAGCTTGTTGATTTTAGAGAGCTATTCTCAGAAGCCCTTTTTGGAAGGAGATAAAAGGCAGGAAGAGTACCAGCAGCCTGGCTCCGTCTTGATGTGGATGCTTTGGAAAATGGTAAGTGGTTCTGTGGGACCATCGAAGGGGATCAGATTACAGCCTACTGTAAAGGTAAAAACAACTAACAGTCTATGACAGGGATGTCACATGTCCTGGGGTCTCCCTCCAAGCAGTCATGGAGCAGAGAGAGTGTTTTCTCTCCACACTCCTCCTTCTCTGAGATGAAGGTTGTAAAACTTCTAATCTGTCAGTGGTTCATTAGTTCAGTTTCTGAGTGACTAGCAGATGCAGACTCATGATTTAAGGCGATTGTCTTGTTGAGACTGAAGGACTTTTGAAACAGCTAGTTACCACCTCTGGTGAAGGCTGTGACGACAGCTAGTTAAATTCTAAGTGTCTGGTGAAAATTTTCTCATCTTGAAAGTCATAGGCAGAGAAGGACACTTGACCAAAGCCAAGGCATGTAAACCGTAGTCACATGGTCCTGTGCTGCTCTATTGTCCCTGGAGAATGCACATGCCATGGCAAAGGATATTTTTATAATATGCAACTTAGATGATTCTTGGAGTCAGGTGAGTGGGTGATTCTGGGCAGAAAAAAACTGTCTTCAGCAAGAAGTGAGAATCCATATTGAGGAGAACAGGAGCTAAGAGGCCAAGAATACCCTCGGGCAAGGGGAAGATTGCAGTGGGAGGAGACTGAGAGATGACGTGGTGGTGGTGGAGAGAAGGCATTTAGTCTGAAAGGACTAGACCTGCTACCAACAGGAAAAGGATTTCTCTCTACTCCAGAATTGAGACTTGCTTGGCCTGGGACTGGTGGAGATGGACTGACTCCTAGGGATTGCTAGCCATGGGGGTTCAGAAGAGCCCCCCCCCATGTTAGGCCTAGCACAATAATTGAGCACTGTGAGATTATTGTGCTTAAAGCATCCAGACGGATAGGACTCTTATTCCAGGATGCATGCTAGTGAGTTTTTTTGATTTAGTCAAGCAAATTAGTCTGTTACTTACTGCAGAACACCAAGTCAGTGTTTCTTACTAGCAGACAAAAGAGCAGAAAATGTCCTCATAGATTTTGTTTCCTGCGTATTTAATTAAGATAGGGTGACAGAACCCAAGTGTGAAACCTTCCCAGGGGGCTGGCAGGAAGGTGGTATGTTTTACACAGCCTTCTGCCTATAGATAAAGTTACTAACTGGCATCTCTCACAACATTGCTGGTTTGGCTCACTTAACCGCAGTGGGACAGAGGGTCAGAACTGAACAAGTTCATACATCCTTTGGGGATGGGAGGCCAGTGTGACAGGCAGAATGGAGTGTCTACAGCTATGGAGTTAAAAGGCGTGTAGTGTGCAGGATAGCTGTGGTCTTGCAACTGAGTACAGCTCTGTGGTGCATGGGTTTCAGGAACTCTGATTTAGCACTGGCTTTTGTCTTCAGCGTCTGCATTGTCATTGGCTTTTATGAAACCCTTTGTAGTTTCAGTTGGAGATGGTATCACTTTTGAGGGAAGGTCATACCTCAGCTAATACTCAAAGTCAATGTATTTAGTCACATGCTAAACACAAGGGTATTTACATAAGTGTGATACTACATGCTTGGGGGGGGCTCTCAGAACAAAGGGGTTTCTGGGCTGGGGAGGTCAGTAAGTAGGGTGCTTGCTGAACAAGCATGAGGATTGGAGTTCAGTACCCAGAACCCAAGTGAAAAGTGGTGGTCCGCACAGAATCTCAGCCCTAGAGAGGTGGAGACTGATAGTTCTATGGGCTTCACTGGTCAGCCTCTTAATTGGTTAAGTCTCAGACCAATGAAGGACCGAAGAAGGATATTGGAGGCTGACCTCTGGCCTTCACACACGTACACACCCATGAAGAAGGAACCAGGTTCAGGCTTGCTTCTGCATTGTCTGATCTAATGGGACAGGTAGAGAGGCACTGTATATCATTTGGCGATTGAGAGCTCGGAGGGTACAGTAGATCCTGGTCAGCTTCAGATCCTGGTGTTGACACGTGCCAAATGTTTAAGTTTGGAAAAGGTTTTCCTTCACCTTAAAAAGACCCACAACCGGCACGGGCCAACAGGAAGATCTGTGCCTGTGCCTTAGGGTGCCAGAGCCTAAAGCAGAAGGTGGTTGCAGTGGGGTTAGAAGCCCCAGTTTCGTGCCTCGTTTGTTCCAAACAACAGAACTAGCAGCACCAGTCTGTGAACTCAGTGCTTTCTTAGGAGTCCAGAGACGGTGACTTGGTTGGAAGTTTGTTGTTAGAGATGAGGGTTGGGGTGTTCTCTGTGTGGAAAGGTCACCCAGACTCGATGGCTCTGCCAGAGGCAACCCTGAAAGACAGGGCAGAGCTAGAACAAAAACAGACAAGTAGTTAGTATTTCTCATTTTTCCTTGAAGTTAGAGGTTGAAATAAACTTTTCCAGAAATGACAGTACCTCAACTCATGCATTCTTGTAATACACACACTTGTTGAGCCAGTTAGCTGCTCAGACCGTCCAGGTCTGGCATACCATGGCTCATTGACTTCAGGAGCCATGTTGATGGTTGACTGCCACATTTGTCTGGTCTATAAAAATTAGAAGGTTTCAGGAAAAGTGAATAAAACTAATAATAATTTGACAAATTAGAAAGAAGCAGCAGAATGGCTCGGTGGCTAAGCATACTTTCCGCAGAGGAGATGCTATGGGGTTGCTGCAGTTCCTCCTTCCAGATCCCCAGGTAAAGTTCCTGTTGTACTGACCCTGGCTTAGAGCCATATGAAAGGGGATTTTGGGAATTTTTTTTTTTTAACCAAGCCAACCCCAACACAAAACCCCACAGTTATGCTATGAAATGTATTTTTTTTTACTTATTGTTGTTTTGGTAACTGGAAAAGACATGCAGAATTATTTCTGTTAAAAATTATCTGAAAAGTTTGTTGGTATATCAAATAAATTCGCAAATACTTAACTTGATTATATAATTGTTTTCTCTCAGCAAACCTTATCTACTTCTGAAATGGCATACTAGCTTAAGAAATGGGACTGATTTGATCATATCCTCATCTCCTGAAAGCATGTCTTGTAATTTGACAATCAGTTTGAATAGCATTATGCAAGGTTTTCTGAAATTACCCTGTATAGTGCCATCTAGTGGTAAACAATTTACTTGTTTTTGGACAGTAGTTCATATTGTACTTTTTGATAAACTATTTATTTCACTTCTAATCATTATTTATTTATTTTATTTAAAGGGACTGTCTAAACCAAGTATTTACAGATGGAAGGACTAGAGAAGGAAAAACTAACTGGTTTTTCCTTGTACAGCAATACATGCACACATAGCGAGTTGTCCTTTGTTTAACCTAACAACATTTGGGCATAGGCATAAGACCCTTTTTTGTTTATGAAAGCCATGTGCTTGTTGCAGAGGTACAATGTAAGATACATGCCTCGGCTTTGAAATCAGGCGTGCGCAAGCCTGGTGTTCTATAATTGCTGTCTGCCAAGTGGTGTTCAGTCCCTTTTGTGTGTACCAGCTCATTAACTATTCACGGACTTTGATTTCTCATGATGGGATTTACCTTTGCTGCACACCCAACCCAGTGTGCAGAGCCCCTCCACCCTCTTGATTGTGATGATAATTAAATTTTTGCATAATGCTCAGCATTTACATTGTGATGACTTGAAATACATTATTCGCAACCAAGTGGTAGGATCCATAGTTAGATTTTCTCTCCATCATAGTTTTATTTGTTTGTTTTTAATTAGCAATTGTGTTTGGGGGCAGGGTTTATCTAGATGTACTTAAGACTTTATAGTCATTCCTGAACTCTTCCCCAGATAATTAAAAAAAAAACAAAAACAAAAACAAAACAAAACAAAAAAAACGTTATTTGTGGTCCTGTGAAACAGACACTTGAGGTTTTGTGTTGACCAAGTCACTCGGGGATAACAGTTGCTAGCCAGCACTTGGCCACTGTGGCCCAGCAGTCTTTTGCCTAGTAGCTGTGATGTCTTTGTTGCCTCCAAGAAAGGTTGTGGGTCTTAGGGTCTGGCTGGAAGTAGGGCCCTCTCTGTGTGGCGAAGGCCTCAGTCAAGCGTGATGGGGGTTCTGCAAGGCGAAGGCACTAGTCACTTTTGATAGTGACTTGCTATAGAGAAATAGAGTGGGTGAATTTTCTGGGATTGCAGTAGAAAGGAAATACACAAGACAGGAACAAACTAGTTCAAATCTTGTTTGAAGCCTTCCTGGGGAGGTAGCTTCTTGGGTCTGGTCAGGAAATGGCAAAGGAGACACACACAGTGGTGTCTTCCTTGTCTTCCTCCTGGCTTGGTTTGCTCCAGCAGTATCTGAGGTATTACTCTTGGGATCAGCATTACCCGTGTAAAAGAAAGGAGACAATAGGAGTCTAAGACGCTTATGTTATTTTAGTAGAAGTATTGGCTGCAGAACTGTTTGTCTGTCCGTAAGACACAGAGGCTGTCATTCTTCATGGCGAGCACTAGGAGGCCACAGAGGCCCGACTCTGGACACAGGTTTCACATAGGGAAGAAACAACAGCAAACCCTAGGGAAAGCAGCACTATGCTAACAGCTGATTAGCTAGTTTAAAGAGGTTGGTATTTCATGATGCAATGAGGAATAGTCTGAACATTGTTTTGTGAACACAGTTTCTTGGTTCATTCAGCATGCTGTTTGTAAATAGGATGAGCTGAGCATTCTGTTTTCTTAGAATGGTGCTTTGTAGTCAAACCTCTAGATACAGGCCTGATTTTTATGCACAGAAGTTGGATGTCTGATGGACCAAACTCTCTCTGTATTCCTCCAGTCCATTGTGTGGATTGAAAACAAATACTTTCATAAAAAGAAGCAGTTTGGGCCACAGGCATTCTCAAATCTTCTGGTTAACTATCAGATATTATTTCAAGCTTGAGCTTGTCCATCCTCCATTAAATCATTACTTCATCAGGTGGTTGCTGAGTGTCTTTGGTCTCCAGGCCCTGCTGGCTCCTCTACTGATAGCACGAATACCTCCCCCCCTAAAGTTTTACCTTTTTGATTTTAAAGGTAAATGAACATGTAATGACATAATCCTCTTTATTTCCGAGTTGCCTCCTTTATTCACTACCTGTACCACCTCTGTTACCCTGATCTCCTGGCCTATGTATTATTTTATCCGTACTATAATGATTTCATGTACCTGACATTTCTCTTTATTAAAATTGTAAATGGCCGAATGGTGGTGGTGCATGCCTTTAATCTAACCAGCATTCAGGAGGCAGAGGCAGGCAGATCTCTGTGAGTTCGAGGCCAGCCTGGTCTACAGAGTGAGTTCCTGGATGGGCTCCAAAGCAATACAGAGAAACCCTGTCTCAGGAAAAAAAAAAAAAAAAGAACAGGCAGTCTTTTATTTTCTATGTTTCCTGGTAGAACAAAGTGTAATAGTAAACAGAGGAGAATACTTTCTTATCAGTAGCGTGTCCTTTGGGTGGCTTTCCAAGCATCCTCATCCCTTCTCCCAGTCTCTCCTTCTTTTCTCCTTCTCCCCCCCTTTCTGGTGTGTCATATTTCTGAAAGGGGTCTTGAAGGTAGCTCAGTTGATATGGTGTTTAACAAGGCTTGAATTCAGTCCCCAGAAACAAAGCCAGGATGGAGGTTTAGGCTGCTGATCTCAGCAAGGGGAGGGGTCGGGATGAGGAACGACACTGGAGGTTGTCCTCTGATGTCCACACACACAGACTGCTTGCACACACAAGCACATGCGCACACACATAACATACACAGAAAAATTTGAAATAATGAGTTTTCTGGATGCTTTGGCATTTGTCCTTAATGTTTTTTATTTTTCACTGTTTTATATAAACCTCTGATTTCTGGGAGGCAGATTACCCGATTTCTCTTCATGGTTTTAAAGGATGTTTTGGGGTCTTTTCCTTAGTAATCTTAGGGTGCACGTCTTCAAAGACTCCGTACAGATTTTAATTAAAGTCAGTGAGTCCAAGGTCAAGGATGCTTGGTTACTGACCTCTGTTTATGGTATTAGGAGGAACTGCATGTGAATTCTGAATTCTTGATGTGATGTAACTGTGAGTTCCCTAGGAGATGCAAAATGGGTGTGGGACTTTGGTGGGAACTCAGAAATCTGTCCAGGACCAGCAGAGGACACACTGCTTTCGGTTTGGAATATGAGGCTTCCAAACCAGCATGTTGTGTGTCTCCACCCTTGAGATCTTCCTTTGCTCACTTTCTTAACGCCAGAGAGATTAGCTCCTGGACAGACATGTGGACTCCCCCACCACCACCACCACACACACAGAGAAGTACCTGAAACTATTCTGTTCCTCTGAGCCCTGTGCTGGCACACTGTACTGTGTTCCAGGATTTGTGAGCAGGTGGCTGTGTGTGTGTGGCCTTTGGTAATTGGGTAGCTCACAATGTGGCTTGAATTCCCACATGGGCAGTGTGCAGGATGTCCAAACAAAACACAGAAAGGCAGTGTTCACTGGAGCTGACTGACCTTTGCAGTTCTCACCACACTCAAGTTCTGATTTTTAACCATTAGTAGATGAGTTACATTTTCACGAACTGTAGATAATATTAATTTGGACATGAGATAGCATAATATACTACCTTTTTTAAAAACGTCATATCTCTGAATCTGTTCTGTTTTACTGTGTAGACTTGGCTGGTTTGGAACTAACTATATAGGCCAGACTGGCTTTGAACTCATGAGAGGTTGGCCAGCCTTTACCTCTTGAGTGCTGGGATTAAAGGCATGCATCCCTACACCTAGCATGATACATATTAATTAATATATATTAATCTCAAAATGACTATATTCTACCACAGACTTGTACTGTCCAATGGGTAGGTATTTACTATTAAGAGTTGACTACTAAAGTTCAGTCTAGTTAAAAATCCATGGCCACAATATAGCTCAATAGTAAAGTATGAGGCCCTCGATTAAGTGCACAGTCCCAGGCAGTCAGTCACTTCTTAGTTACTCTAAGCCGTATATGGCTACCATATTTGATAATTACATAATTCTTTCATCAATCTAAGAATGTGATTGTACATTGTCTGGGTTTTATGTATCAGAGTTTTGCATTTGTGCTGTACATATCATATCCTATAAGGAAGACTGGATAAGCCAATCCGAATATCCCCAGGGAGAGTTCTGAAGACCCCAGTGTATTGTTTATATGATGATGGGCTAGAAAAGTTACTTCTCAGGTAAGTACCAGGACAAGTCATGCTTACCCTGAGACTTACATCCCAGCATCCCTAGGGATAACTTTGCAATCAGTTTTCTTTGTTGTTGATGTTTTTTTTTTTCTTTGCCTTATCTGGGAATATAGAGCCAAAGTTACTGAACAATTGAAGTAGCCCCCTGGCATGTAGATCTGTGTGCTTTGTTCCTTTCTCTGCAGTCTCTGGGAACACCTGCCAGAAAGCCCTTTAGTTGGCTTTTCCAAAACACTTTAATTTTCAAAATAGTAATTAAAGAACTCTCAGTGATGGAGTTGACAGAACCCTTCAGGCCTTTCAGTGTTGCTAGGGAAATTCAGCTGGGAGTCTATTTGTGTCTTAGTCAAGCTGTGTAGACAGGGCTTGAATAAGGAGGCTAGTGGGCTGTCTGGTGTCTTTTTAGAGGAAGGGGGTCCTTGTGGACAACACAGAATTGAATTCTTAGTTACCCTTTCTCAGTGGAGAAACACTCTCCTCTTTTCCATTTTATTCTGAAACTTACAGGCCATTGTGATACTTGTACATTTCAGGCCAAAGAGTAAAATAAGTTTTAAGCCGTACATCAAAGGAAAGTTGTAGAGCTAGGCATTCTATTGGGCAAAGTTGTCGAATATATTCGATTTGGGGCTTTCTAGTTGCTGAAGTGAGAAGGAAAACAGAGCTGCCTAGTTTGTGTGTGTTGACAGCCAGAAGCTGGTAAACATCTGCAGAAACCAAGCGTTTCCTGGAACTAAACTCAAGCAGACATGCGTCACGTGGACCTTTGTTTAAAGAGTCTAGTGAAGAATATCTTCAACCACAGTTACATAACAGGTCCAGGAGCACAGTGCATGTGAATTGGGTTCTCTTGGGGGTGACCAGGAAGCCCAGGGTGTGCCCTTACAAGGCAGGTGGGTGGAAAGGAGCTCAGGGACCTGAGGCCAGGGCCTGTGCTGTTTGGAAATTACAGGAGAGAACTTTAGACAACGGATTTATTTTTCTGTGGGATAGGAGATCTTGCCATTGTGGCTTTTCCATAGCATTCCTTCCTCTTCGCTCCCAACAATCACTCCAATGCAGAGATTTTGTTTTGATGATTAAAGCAAAGAGCATTTTTCGTGGACCCCTAAGGGCTGGCCTTTGCCTTCACAGAAGTCTAGTTCTCTTCAGAGTAAAGGGTGACAATAGAATCTTCAGTCTTTCAAAACTTGTATCCATCCATTTTATTTTTTTCATTTAGGCTTTTGTAACACATTAGCTTAACCGTTCATAACTAAAGTGATAGGACAGAAACAGTCTTTTCCCCCCTTTATGGGGGACAACTGTAGCCAGCTGCCCATCTGAAAGAGTATAAGAGAAGACCGTGCCCTCTCTAGAGTTGGCTAGGTATGGTGATTTGAATAAGAATGCCCCCCCCCCCCCGTAGCTTCATATATTTGAATGCTAGTCATCTTAAAAGTGCAGTAGTCCTATAACTGTGCCTTGAAGCTTAATGGAGGAGTTTTGGGTTAATGTTGTTGGCAGAGGAGATTTGAAAATGCCCTTAAGAGATTAACATTATCCATGGTCTTTTGTGTGGTGTCTTCAGATGAAGGAAGGGACTAAAGTGCTCTGGGCCCTCTTTCAGAACGGTACCAATCCCGGTCATGGGTGATACTCCATCCTCAGGTCATGATCACTGCCCCAAGGGCTTGCCTCAAATTCCAAAACTTTGAGAGTTTTCCTAATGTGGAGGGTACAAACCCTGGCCTATGATAGCAGTGGCTACATTTTTGGTGAAAGCAGCATTTCTGGAAAGACCCTCATAACTATTTTATTCTAATAGTTTTAATACAGTCATGTGATAATTTTGGTCTAATTTCATTTTCTCTAGCTACTTAGATACACTTTCTATCTGAAGAATATACAGCACCTTCCAATGCACCTTAAAGCAGAGACTACACGTACATCAACTACTTGTTAGAATAATTTCAGTTCAGTCTGCTCCCTAGGGAGGGAATTGTTGAAATTTGGAGTTTGTTTTGAGCTTTGTGGTTTTATTATCAATTTTTTTTATTTTTTAGCGTTTTGGAAATTAGTTCAAAGCCATTGGAACGCTTCAGATGGAACATTTTTAAGCAATAAATCCCATTTCCAAAAAAGAAGAGATTGCCATTAGTCTCAGAGACTTGGAACTTCAGGCGTTTTGGATAGTGTTGAGACTGGGGACTTTTGAAATTGGACTGAATGTATTTTGCATTATGGTACGCTCCAACTTATGGAGCCCAGGGAGTGGGTGGAACGTGGCGGTTTTAACAAGAACGGCCCCTATGGGCTCATACTTTGAATGCTAGCCACCAGGGAATGGCACTGTTTTGAAAGAATTAGGAGATGTGGCCTTGTCGAAGGAAGCGTGTCACTGAGGGTGGCAGGATTTGAGGGTTCAAGAGTCCATGTCTCCCTGGGCCAAGGATCAGGGTGTAACTCTCAACTGCTTCTCCAGCACCATACCATGCTGCCATGCTTCCCGCCATGATGATAATGAACTGAACCCCTGAAATTGTGAGCAAGTTGCAGTGGCTAAGGCTCTAGGGTACTGTACTGGCTGGTTTTGTGTGTCACAAATAACCTCTGTGAAAAACATTTTGGCTGAAGCATTGACTGTTCGGAGTTAAACATGGAGCAGGCACAGCCTCCATTTAATAGACCATGCCTTGAGCCTGACAGGTTCCCCAACAGGCGCAAAGGGCACTTTCTTGTTAGTGTCATCTGGGGAAGGGTCAGCTGAAAAGGTTAGTGTTTTCAGGTGATTGACATGAAATTAAGCTTTGAAAAAGCACTTGTGAAAAACTTAATAATGAGATCACACGACTTTTTTTTCTAGAAAATACAGTGAGACTCATGTGAGAGAAGACAGTTTTCTGTTAAGGGAAACAGTGGTGGTGTATTACAGTGCACACCCAGTCTGTGATCTTCATAGTGTTCGCAAGTGTGAAGACAACTTTGCAACATACTCAGTCACTTTTGTACTTTAAAAATAAGCCCAAAGTTTCAATCCAGCGTATCAGTTAGTAACACCTTAATTCTCTTTGCTCTGCTGTCTCTTCTCTGTCCGCCTGCCCTATTTTTCTCCCTCCATCTTGAAGACAGGACTTCTTACTGATCCCAGGTTGGCCTGGATGTAGCTCAGGCTGGCCTCCAAATCATGGCCTCTCACTTCCCACCTTCTAGACACGCCCCTGTGTCCAGCTTCAGTCTTTTGAATGTCAACCCTCTGACTGGGGAGATTGATCAGTGGTTAGGGCACTGGTTGCTCTTGCAAAGGACCCGGTTTCAATTCCCAGCACCCACATGTCAGCTCACAACTCTCCGTGACTCCAGTTCCAGGGGATCTGGTGCCCTCACAGAGACATGAATGTAGGCAAAACACTAATGCGCATAAAATAAAAATAAATGCTGTCACTTCTGAATCAAAAGTGTTGTTTCATAGGTTGTATGGCTAGAAACAGCAGATTTTACCTAGTGAAGGGTCAGACTGGGAAAAAGTGACCAGGTAGGGCTACATGATGTGTGTATTTTAATGTGTCAGCCTAGGCTTGTGCTGGAAGGGATGTCTTAAAACAGAAAGGACATAATTAAGCACAAAAGATGGCTGGGTTGTGTCTCCCACCACTCCAGGGTTATGCATTAACTTGATCTGAGCCCTCACTTTAGCAAACACAGAAGGAAAATAATGAAATAGAGCTGATTTCCTGCTAGGCTCCTGATAGTTTCATCTTGGTGTATAATACAGCTTCTTTTCTCCCACAGGCATTTTGTTGCTTCTTAGGGTTAGAAGAACTGAGCTAGCAAGAGTCTGTACTGTCTGTGCCTGACAGGAGAATTTTCGAAAAGCTCAGAGCCACTGGTAAGTAAGTGCTGCCCACTCTCCTATCTATTTGTTGTACAACTTTTAAACCAATGTAGCATCCTCTGGCCTCTACATGGGTGTGCACAAGCGCTCTCTCTCTGTCTCTGTCTCTGTCTCTGTCTGTCTCTCTCTCTCTCTCTCTCTCTCTCTCTCTCTCTCACACACACACACACACACACACACACACACACACACACACAGAGTGGAATCTTAGAACTTTGAAGTTTTAAAATACGGTGCACTTTAATTGGGTGCTTTAAGTTTTGCTACTGGAAAATAGTGGCGATTTTATAATAAAGAATTTAAAATAGTAGTAAATGTGTATAATTGAAGGAATTTTGAAAGAAGGTAACTCACTGATGGTAAAAGTAATGGAAACCTTTCTGTTACATAATAGTTAATCTGTAAAAATATAGCAGTTCACAAATGCAGGCATTAACATGTTTAAAAGCATTCTCCCTGGTGGTTTGTTTCTGTGTTGTTAAAATGCAAATGTGTAGGTGGGGCAATTGCTCTAACACTTGAAAGGTCAAGCTGTAGCTACATGAGTGTCTCTCCATGCTGGGTGGGCTTTGGTTAACCTGAGATCCATGGCAGTCTAGAGGACATCGTGCTGATAGTTGTGTTTGAAAATGATGGTTGTGTTATGCTAACGTAGATAAGATTACAGAGTCCTCCTGGACTTGTTTCTTAATCACAGGGAGCAGGAGGAAGGACCCTGGCCTTTGCAGTTAAAGCACAGCCAGTTATCTTGATAGCAGTGACTTCTGAGAAAAGACCCTGTGTCTTCTTTTCTATTCTTGGAAGCTGGTTTTTATTTATTTATTTATTTATTTATTTATTTATTTATTTATTTATTGTTGACAAAACTAGTAAACCACGAGGATGCCCTGAAGTTTTATTTTGGATTCTTTAGTTAGCAGTGGTTTAATTTGAGACGAAACATAATGCTGTCCAGTGTGGTAGCCACTTGGCCACATGTAGTTCCTGAGCATTGAGATGGCAGTGCTGTTTGAGATGTACTCTGCATAAAATATACACTGTTCAAGTGTTATATGTCTATATCTATATATCATACGACAGGGCATGGTGGCGCACGCCTTTAATCCCAGCACTTAAGAGGCAGAGGCAGAGGCAGGCAGATCTCTCTGCTTTCCATATCAGCCTAGTCTACATAGTGAGTTCCAGGACAGTCAGGACTACATAAAGAGACCCTATCTGAAAACAAAACAATAAAAAAACCCCACAAAATATTTAAATTTCTCATGAATAGTAATAATAATCTTTGAAATAACCTTTTTGATATATTGAATTAAATAAAACATTACTAAAATTAATTTCACTTTCCCTTCCACTTCTTACCACGTGACAGGTCGATGCTTCTCTCTTCTCCCTCTCCTCTCTCTTGCTTTTTTCTTTTTAAGGTAGGATTTTGCTATGTAACCCAGGCTGTCCTTCAGATCTCCTGCCTCAAACTCCTGAGTGCTGGATTACAGGCATAGGTCACTATGTCTGGGTTAGAAAATGTTAATTATTTGTACCTTGCCTATTTCTCCTTTTTGCTTTCTTATTTAAGGCAGGTCTTATTTATTATTTATAGGCAGAGTTTTGCTGTGTATCCCAGACTGGCCTGGAACTCCCAGGAGCAATGTCTTGCCTGAGTCTCCCAAGTGCTAGATTATAGCTAAGTACCACCATACTCAGCTTCGAATTTTATCTTTTTTGACAGGCTTATTTCCGTCACCATGTATATTCTTTCCTAATCAGTGTTCTCCTTCTGCTTGTCTGTATGGATAATTCATATAAATCTATATTGTTTGATGGATCTGATTCTTTGATTCGTCAAGTGTTTATTGAATACCCACCATGTGCCAGGCAATATTCGATGTCACCATTGCAAACAAAGCTCTTTTTGTGGAGCATTGTAGATACACATACAGAACAAACGAATAAGTGGAATTTGTTTTACGATGCAGTGTGAACTTGGAAGAACTGTAAGGCAGGCAAGGGTTGGGGGCTCAGTGCCATGTAGGGTGATTTCAGGAAGGCTTCCTTCACTGAAAAGGGGGGCTCCTTGGCAGAGATTTGAAGACAGCCTCAGGTTCATGATAAGAAAGTGGGCAGGAGTGTAGGCAGAGAGGATAGCAGATGCAGAGATCTTAGGATGCAGGCATGGTGGGTTTGCCTGAACAGGAGGGAGGGGCAGGTCAAGTGGCAGGAGCAAAGGGGGCAAGAAGGGAAGAATTCAGATGCACAGTTGATGATGCAGAGTGTGGTTACACTAAGAGTTGTGCTTCTAATGAGATGACAAGGAATTGGTGGGCTTCAAGGAGAGGCATGGGGAGCCTGCTCTTCTGAGGCTGCTGTAATTTGATCGCTCTGGGGTCAGGGCGTTTACAGGGGGAAGGAGAGAGTGAGTGTTCCAGGGTATAGGAGTAACCGAGGTGAGAGGTAACCAAAGGAGTTGAGATGGTGTTGCAGAGACAATAGGGGTTGGATAGCCGCTGGGCAGTGTGGGACTGTAGAAGTCAGAAAAGCTCAGCAGGAGTGAACAGCCTGCCTGGGCAGTGCAGTTGATGGGCTAGATCAGGTGGGACCTAAAGGTTTTGATGGTCACTGGACTTAGCTATGACCTTGACGGTAGCAAGGTCAACAAAGTGGGCTAGGATAATTGGGAGATTGGAAGGATTCTAAGAAATCGAGTCTAGATCCTCAAGTCAAGAAGAGCCAAGGAAGTTGTTCTCTCACAGATGAGAGAAGTCAACACCATTTCCAAGACAGGTGTTAGGTTTGTTTTCCTGAAATGGCCCTCCTGATGGTGACATTGAGGGCCAACAGCTGTGTGAGTAAGACAGGCGATGGGAACAGAGCGCCCTCTAAGCTGTCTTCGGTTTGATCTGGGATGCGAGGGGGGTGGAGTGATGGCACTGAAGGTTGCCTTTGCAATTTGATGAAATTTGGCTTTGTTTCTCCTGGCTGAGTGCCATTTACATTCTGACAGTCAAAATCCTTAAGGAACAAATGTTGAAACTAGTTCTTGTCAACTAGAAGTGCTGAAAGGCTGGTACTGGGGCATAATTCCCTTTATTTTTAAGGAAGTTATAAAGACATTTGAAGAAATGAGACATGCCCAGAGCATTGCCCAAACCTCTAGATACATAGATCTAATTTAAGAGTGGGTAATGTCTTCATTGAAGTGTTCTAACAGGGCAGTATTGACTGTGCCCGTGCATGATACCTTTGTGAAGGCCAAATGGGGGCAGTAGGTGAGCACTTAGGGTATGTGGTGACGTGCTCACCCGAAAGAAGAAAATATCGACGTGGTTAAGTCTAGTTTGAAGGTTTGTCATCACATTCGGGGTAGCCAGGGAAAGTGGGATGATAACTAACCCGCAATCATGCTAATGGGACCTCCAGAGAGTCTGCCATTTGCCCTTGCCAGATGCGGTGGTTTGAGTAAGAACAGCCCCATAGGCTCATATACTGGAACTATTAGTCCCCAGGGAGTGGGACTCTTTGAAAGGATTAGAAAGATTAGGAAGTGTGGCCTTGTTGGAGGAAGTGTGTCACTGGGAGTGGGCTTTGAGGTTTCAGAAGCCCAAGCCAGGCCTGGTGTGTCCCTCCCTTTCCTCCTCCTCTCCCCTCCCCTCCCCTCCTCTCTCCTCCCTACCCCTTTTCCCCCACTTCTCCCCCTCCCTATCTCCCCCTCCAGGTCAGGGTGTAGCTCTCAGTTCCTGCCCAAGTGACTGACTGCCTGTATGTCTCCATGCTCCCCGCCATGATGAAAAAGGACTAAACCTGTGAAATTGTAAGCAAGCCCCCAGTTAAATGCTTCCTTTAAGAGCTGCCTTGGTCATGGTGTCTCTTAACAGCAACAGAACAGTGACTAAGACATCAGGCTTTGCTAATGACAACACAGAATCAGTCCTGTTTGGGTCATCCTGGAGTTCTGTGGTCAGAGTTTTGACTGAAGTCCAAGCAATCAGTTTATCCTCAGAAACCTCAACATTTCAGAACATCTGCTACTTGGGTTCCAGAAAGTAATGTTAGTTGGCACGGGTGTATTGGGTCATTCTCCTGTGGAGGATATTCCAGTTAGGGTAAGTTTTACATTTCAGGCTGGGGAGCATGTCTATATTTCATCCCTGAGGTAGAACTAGATTTATGCTTTATTTTCATAGTAGGGTCCTCCTTTATTTAGACGAAATTGAAAACTGAAACATGAAGAGCCAAGTGGGCATGGTGGCACATGCCTTCAATCTAGTCTTGGGAGGGCTAAGATTCTTGGAGGCAGTAGACAGTAGCTAAGAGGGGTCCTAGAGCACCTTCTGTGTGGAGCTGCCCATTGTCTGCATTGAATCAGGGACCAAATTCTGGAGTCCATCCATTTTGCCTCTGAATCATATCTAAAATGGGAGATTGCATTTCAGTGTCTTTTGTGTAGAATCCTACATTTTTTGAAGAATACTTTTCTTCTTTGACAGCTTCCTGCATACATACAGTGTGTTTGGGTTGTGTCCACCCCAACTCTCCCATCATGCACTCTGCCACCTTTCACCACATCCCACTCCTACCTTTCCTATGATTTTAATAAAAAATCAATAATCTTTGAAAAAAATTTCCCCAGTCTAGTACAAATGGAAGAAAATGGTTTAGAAACAGTTATGGACCAGCTAGCTATTCCCTCACCCCTTCTTTCCCTTCAAGTAAATCCCCCACTGAATGATTTTACAATGGCTCGTATTTTTCAGGCAGCCTGACGGTTCCAAAGACATCATAGGATTGAAGAGTAGCATGGGGGTGGAGGTTTGTGCCCAGCACTAACATGGCGGCTCACAGCCATCCATGCAACTCCAGTTTCATGGGGATATGATGACTGCTTTTAGCCTCCATGGGCACCAGGCATGGACATACTTGCTGGCAAAACACTCACCCACATAAAGTAAACATTTTAGTATTGCAGTATAGGGGTGTCTTACCTGCCTATGTGGAGAGGA